AGAATGTCGTACACTCATCCCATGGCTTCGATGTCCTAAGTTATCAGCTCTGGCTGGAATTCTCGGTAGAGGTCACAGGTGGAAAGCTCCCGTTGCTTGTTCTGTTTGCTCCAACACTTCGTGTGGATTTGCAGAATGAAAGATATTTATATTCTGGACGGAACCAGATTGATAATGACGATGACTCACCGCCACCGTAGAAGGGATATTTTCCGATCCTGGTTCTCGTGTGGTACGGAGTGCTTCCCTTGGTCTTGCATCGTCCAGTTCACAACGTGGAAGAGCAGGCGGGTTAGCATGAGTATCTTGATTCTCAACGAAATGAGAATGGAAATGATTGAGCGCCATATCAGATCCAGGCATTAGTCTGGATCTGTATGAAGGCTGCAGCTGGGCATTTTGGCTTTTTTATTTTTCCACTTTCAGGGGGAATGAGGAGGTTGAATGGATAGGGGCGGCGCGTCAACGTGATTTGGTCACGGGACCCTTTGCTATTTGGAACTCACTCAACGTCAAACAAGATTTTAGAAAATGGAGTCTATGCATTGTGTTGGAGGCTTCAGGCCCCGTTGTCAAATGGATGTTTCTCGGACTCATCGAGGGCTCCTGGCTTGCCGTTGACAACCCATCAGAAGAAGGTTGTACGTGAGATTTCGTTGTCTGAGTACCGAAGAGAGCATGCCACAGCTATGGGCAAAGCCTGACATTCCTCTGAACATACCTGAAGTCGAAATGGAGGATGATGAAGAGGACTACCACTCGAGAGTATTCCCTCACCAGAAATAGTCTCCAACAAAGAAGATGAGATTGACAATGAAGTTCCTGACAAGGAAGACATCAACGAAACCAACAAGAGAGAGAAGATATCGACAAAATGGGATCTCGCACCCAGGTAATAGATGGGACTCGTACACGGTTCAGGGAAGAACTACCACCACCAGCAAACAACGAGCCATTTCAAGAAGCACGCCGAGGCAACCGTTCGATGGTTAGATAAATATACATGTTATGAATTGTACGAAGCCGAAGATTCACTGCCTAGCCATGCCAATGTTGCCGCCGCTATTTCAAGTAGATATAAAGCGTAATAAGCGGATCTTAAATAACCAACTTACACACCAGGTGCCGTCTATCCGAAAAGGGGGGCGCCTGTTTCCGCACCCCTGTACAGGCCACGTGACAGGGGTGGGAGGTTAACGCCAAAAGCCTCGGTAGTATCTGTTAAAGCTCTCCTCCAAATGTACCTTAATTGCACCGAAGCAGATCGAAGTGCACACCCGCCAGAAGCCCACAATGACAGCGCCACGAGTCCCAGCACTCCGGTATCTGATAAGCTGCTCCTCGCGGTCATTGCGCGCCTCCAATCAAAGGCGCTGGGCCCAGGTTCATGATGTCCGGTTCTTAGCGACAACACAGCAATCGCGCAGCGTCCTGGAAAAGTACCGAGACAAGCTCGACGCCAAGGCCAGGCACGAGGGCCATGCCGACATCAATGAGTTGAAGAAGGCTTACTCCGAGAAGATCCAAGACCAACGGCTCAAAGATGCGGCGACTACGACGTTTCCAACAGTCTCACCAGTAGAGACGTCAGACGAGACAGCCGTTCAAAGCAAATCGAGCTCGTCAACTCCCGGTCCCCTGAGCCCGGCAGCAGTGAGCGCGCACAACCCCTCCTCTCCGAACTCCGTCAAGCCTCTCGACGCCATCCTCGACCTACCAAAGGCGCGCGATCTACCCGTGCCCGAACTCTCGGCGATCTGGCGGCTACGACATGCCTCGTCGCCCAACTCTCTTTGCGCAGTAGTGCCGGCGCATACATACGCAGCGATGGAGGAGGCAGCGCGCAAGAACCCACAGTTTGTGCTTCCTGTGCCACACCCAGAGCAGGGCGCAGAGATTCACTTCCTACAATGGACATTCGATCCACCAACAAGCACAAGCACTGTGCTGTTCACTCAACTGGCCGAGTATAAGGCGCGAGGGGAGTTTGCGGTGCCACATACGACAATCACGCATCACTTGGACCTGCAGGGCGACAAGGGCATTGTGCTGATGCAGGGAAACGTGATGGAGGGCCGAGGAGTCAAAGCAGATGATGCAAGGTGGCTGGTCATGTGTTTGCAGCGCTTCTACGGCGGTTGGGATGGCGAGAAGAGCGAGGTCAGCAAAGAGAGGGCCTTGGAGAGAAGGAAGTTGGTGGAATGGTTCGCAACTGGTGACGAGAGATTTAGTGTAGAGAAATTGATGGAAGAGGCAGAGCGAATGGGCTAAAAAGCCCTGCTTTGTATGATAGATGAGACAATTGGGTGTATATCAATGTACCATCACAGCATTTTGGCGGGCATATAGACTGGATAAGGTAACATGCACTGGAGTGCAACCTGTATATAGTACACGGAGACAATAGTCGCTAGTCTTCAGGGGAGCATTATAAAGCAAACTAACATCCTCCTTACAGCTTTGCCCCCTCTTTACGCTCTTCTTGCTTTGCCTGGTCTCTAAGAACCCTTCTTAGGATCTTTCCGGCAGCCGACTTCGGGACTTCATCTATAAATTTGATACCGCCGCGAAGCTTCTTGTACGGCGCGACTTGCTTTGCTAGCCACTCGGCAATCTCTTTTGCCTTTGCCTCTGTGCGCTCCTGTCCAGGACTTAGAACGATGTAGGCGCGGGGGACCTCAGTAGCTTCCGCATGATTTTCGACGCCGATGACGCATGCGTCGGCGATGTCCTCGTGCGAAACTAGGATGCCCTCAAGCTCGGCGGGAGCAACTTGGAAACCCTCTGTTACTGAGTTAGGCAACATTTCCTGATAAGGTAATGGTGATGAATTCGGACTCGATTCATAAGACTCGGACTCGATAGGTAGGCGAACAAAGGGGCTCAGTTCGGGTTGCACTTACTGTATTTGATCAACTCCTTCAGCCGGTCCACGCAGTAGTAATTCCCATACTTATCCCTCTTGAAGATGTCGCCCGTCTTGAAGTAGCCGTCCTCGGAAAATGTGTCTTTTGTCTTATCAGGCAGGTCCAGATAGCCTAAGAAGACATTCGGTCCTTTCACCCAAAGTTCGCCCTCCTGAATTAAATTAGTTACAAATCCAAATCCAATAGGAATTGCCTTTCGGCTAGATAGGATACTTGCCTCTCCCTCTCGAACCTCCTTTCCATTCTCATCCACAATCTTCGCCTCCATATTCGACACCAGCTTGCCTACACTACCAGCGAACTTCGCCCATTCGTCAGGTAGCTGAGTGTGAGTGACTGGGGATGTCTCAGACAATCCATAGCCCTGCTTGACCGGAATCTTGAGCCGGTTCCATACAGCTTCGGTCAACTCGTGAGTCAACGGTGCAGCTCCTGAATTCAGTAGTTTGATCGATGTGAGGTCGTACTTGCTCACTGCGGGATGCTTCCCCAGAGCGAGGACAACTGGCGGTGGGACATATGCATATGTGATTTTGTAGTCTTGAATTAGTTGGCACGCCTTGTCGATGTCGAATCGAGGCATGACAATTAGTTGCCAACCATTGAAGGCACATTGGAAGATACAAACGGTGAGACCCTAGAACGTGAGTTAGCAAACCAGAAATGGAGCTAAATCTGTCGAACCACCCACGTAAATATGGAAGAATGGCAGAAAACCAAGTTGCTTGTCACCCTTTCCATCCCAACCGCCCGATGATGAGAAGCTACGGCCCTCAACCTCGTACAACTGCTTGAGATTGGATATCACATTGTAGTGTGAGAGACAGACGCCCTTTGGCATGCCGGTCGTTCCGGAGCTATACACCAAAAATGCCAGATCCTTGCGCGGATTGACTTTCGTCGGTGCGTACTGCCCGCAATATGCGGTGCTCTTGACGCTCGTGAAATGCTTGAATTTACCAGACTCATCATGCTCATCGCCAAGGAGGATGATCCGCTTCTCCGGTATGCCGGCTTTCTTCGCGGCCTCGCGCACGACCTTGAGGAAAGGCTTCTGTGTGATAATGGCCTTCGCCTTGGAGTTGGTTAATTGGAAGGTCAGCTCTTCTACAGTGTAGAGAGGATTGACGGGACTAGCTATGCCGCCAGCCCAGAGCAGGCCGAAAGTCGCAACGGTGGTGTCGATGTTGTTCGGAGTGTAAAAGGCGAGGACATCTCCCCGTTGCCAATTCCATTCTGACTTAAGGCCCTTTCCAAATTCGAGCGCAGAGGCTTTCGCTTGAGCGAAGGTATAGGTCCGACCAGTATTCCCATCGGTGAATAGCTCTGAAAGTCTCACGCGTGAGTGGAATGTATAGAAAAGTTGTGGCTGTAATTGGACTTGTACCTTTTGAGTCGGGGAACTGTCTGTCCTTCCGCTCGAAGAGAAACGTGAAGAGGTCAACCTCAGGTATCTCGATTCTTGGAAAGGAAACGAGGTGCGGCATCGTGGGGGAAACAGAAAGCCAAGAGCTGTGTGATGTGCAATCGCTTGTTGTAGGATACTATGCGCTTGTACGAATCAATCTTGTATGCTACTAGAACCTCCGTAACGTGGTCTGTGATATGAGCAGTTCTCAAGAGCAAGCTTCTGTCGATCTGGAACAATGAACACCCCGAAAGAGGGAAGCTGTCCCGTTAAAGCGAGCAGCAGCATGCCAACTGTAGCCGGCGGCCTATCCGGCGGCGTACCCAGCTTGGTAGGCACCCGGTCCAGGTGACACGCCAGCCTCGGTATCTCCATACTTTTCATGGTGGCCAAGGAGACACCCCACAGACCGACCAACCCGGCTTGGAGTAGAGATTGGGGAAGCAAGCCACAGCATACCGGTGTGTACGGCGAAGTTCGGCCAAAACTGTGCTACGCCGTACTTAGCCCAGCTCGAGCCCAGGTGCTCCCCAAATTCCGCTAAGACTCCGTCTTAGTTTAAACGAAAAGAGCCATTTCTCTGGCCTCGGCGCCCCATCTTTTGTTGTGCGGGACATCAGTGTGACTTCATGGGGGCGCTGCCAACTCCAGTCTAGCGACGCCATACCTAACGGTAGTGTCTCTCTTGTGCGGGGATGTTGGTGCAGGCGTCCGCCACCCCCAGCAAGATTATGCCGCTCACAAGTGATGTGTGGAATCTGCGATAAAGGCGACCGTTTCCTGTGGAGTTGATTCCACACCGGATACGAATAGTAAATTTGGGCGAGTCGGTGGAAAATCAGCACGTCAACCCATGTAGAATGACAAGATGGACCGGAGTCTGGTGAACCAGCAATTATTACCAGTCTCCTCAATCCAGATGTTCGTATCTAGAACAGGCCATTCTCATGATAGAGGCGTATGCCACAATTGATCCGTTGGTCGATTGGCGATTGGCCAGTCAATGCGAAGAGGATCAGGAAGCATTGAGAGAATTAACTACCCCAACTCGTGACGCGCGCATAGCCGGAGGAAGTTGAGGCAAAACGGACACACAGGCAATTTTGTACGAGAGTGTACATATCGTGGACGAGTAGCCTGTCTACTGCGAAGGCCGTCTACGGCAACGGCAGTCGTCCACAGGTCGGGGCGGACCTCCCGGAACGGGCCAATCGCTCAACTCTCTTCATTTACCGGAGTCGGGTGTTGTCAGGAAGTCGGTTCCTCGCAGAGCCTTGCGCGGCAATGGCACCGAGAATTGTCTAAAATCTCACCTTATACTCTACCAAGGTACGACCCACCTCAGCTTGGCAGTGGTATCCCAAACTCATTCTTGAACTCTGAGCCTTAGTAGCCTATGAATATTCCAAATCATGGTGTCTTTCAACATCAATCCTCTCAAGCTCGGAATCTGAGAGCGCAAATATAGAAAGGCGTGTTAAAGCACCGCCCGTAGTCTTCGAGACCAAGATTAGATAGTAGGTCACCTACGACTGTCCTGTTGCGGTATTGCGTATGCATATCACTAGCCACAGGCCGAGTCCGTCCGGACAAAGCTCCTGTATAGTGTGTGGCGCTTTGTTCTAAAGAGCACTTCATCGCCGTTCCATGCGCATCTGGACTAAGTTCACGATCGCTGAAACACAGCGCAGGAACCAGAAGGTCAAAGAGACGGGCCGGCACTCCAAGAATAAATCCATCAACCACAATGGAAGGATCTTCGGCTCAGCAAACGACGATGTTCCGTGTGTGCCAGAAGATCATGCGGAGACGAACAGTCGACTTATGCTACAACGTTTACAAGACAAAAGGGTGCAGGAATGATTTCCGTGACCAAACTTATGCGGTGAAATGTGCTCGTTCGCCAGACCGAGGAGTTCTCTCCTGGATCATGCCCATCTTCTTGAGGCGCCTGAAACAGCAGCGTCTTCGTAGAATTTCTTGGCGCCGGTAGCCAAAGCCGACCGAAGCAACCGACGGATATGTCAGCCTTCTACTTCATCTCGTCTTCGAGAACGAGGTCCAGCACGCCATTAACCGAGCCAGCAAACCTTGTCAACATGTTGAGATGAACAAGGAGAACTGGGCGGATTTCGGATGCGAGAATGTCCAGCTCTCAAACCCGAACACCGCCAGAACCTTGGCCTGGTCGAATCCTTGCAGCATGCTGGCGCGTTTCATTGGTGCTGAGAGCACCCCTGAGCCCAGTCTGGGTAAGTGTAAAACGAGCGCCAGCAATTGTGCCCTAGTTTGTTCCGCCTAGAAATGCCCAGCAAAGCTTAGGTGACTGCCAAGGGCTTGTCGTAGATCTCCAAGATGCGACAACCTCGAGACAGCGCTTAGCGTACGAGCCTCACTATCACCAGGGTCCGCTTGTACAGGCTTCCCAACAGGTCATGTTCATGCATTGTCGTCGCCGTGATCAGTCCCCGCCTTTTGGCGTTCCCGGGTCTTGGCTCACGATCCACGGATGCCCATTGGATCCATGGTCGTGGCCGTCGATCCGAGCATAACCTGGTCTGGCTCACGGATGCTCGCGAGGACTCTCCCGGAGGCGCCACCCCGTTCCCATGACTGTCCCCGCTTGTGGCCCCTTGGAGGAGTTCAGACGACTCTTGTCAACAAGGATTGAAGGGGCGCTGGCCGGTATGAGCGCATCGCCTGACGCAAAATCTGGCGGGTCTCCTGGCTAGCGAGTGCAGGCCATTGTTTGAGTAGAGATCGCCTTGAGAAGGGCTCTCGAGCCAGCGCATTAGAAGGTGTCATTTGGCAGCTATAAGATCTTCAGTCCATCCGCTCATCATGTAGGTTGTCTCTTCTTCTCTCCTCACCACCATTCCTTTGCTCGGTTCTCACCTTTCTCTACATCTCTTCACCTTCATTCTTCACAGCTGTGCTGTCTTTTAAACTCAAGTTGCTGTGCACTCTTTACCACTTCTCTTCTTCGAGTCAAGAATAATCTATTCACTACAAACAAAGATGTATTTCTCCAAGATCGCTGTCGTTCTTTCCGTTGCCGTTTCGGCACTTGCTTTGCCCGCCCTTGAGGCACCCAAGCAGAAGCGTGCTGGTGTCCTGACTGTTCAGGACTACGCCGACTTCCAGGTCTCTGATGGTGTTGCTGGAAATGCGCTCGCCGAGGTCCAGGCCAACTTCCCTGTGAGTATTAGCGCCATTCGCCTATATTCTCTGCAGAGAGTATTAACATTGAAACAGATTGATGAGAATGACCTGGCCAACGTCGATCCTGACGATCTGGACATCATCAAGGCGGCCCGTGTGACCGCCGAGGCCGCCGAGACGGATGCTGGTGGCTTCAACGACGCCATCGACGCCGCGGGTGACGGTGCTGCGGCCGATGCCCTGCAGGTCGGCAAGATCAAGAACAAGGTTCTGAAGCTTAAGCTCGAGGTCCTGGCCCTGCAGATCGACCAGGCCGTCAACGGCAACGACAACAGCGCCAAGATCGACGAGGAGACCACCAAGCTGAACAAGAACATCCAGCTCGATGAAGATGCCGCCGGCGAGACCAGCCAGAGCGTCGACTTCACCGGTGACGACTCCCCGTAGAGAGCCTCTCAAGTGGAGATCAGATGTATATAGCTCTGAGGAGATCAAAATGGATGCGGGTTTGAGAGTGTGAGGAAGTGAGATCACCGACAAGGAGTGGAACGGGGACATGGGGAGCTGGACGAGGAGGACGCTGTTGATTCAGGCACCTCCTTAGGACAGCGAGGAGGCGAAGAGAGGGGGGCTCTTGTCTCTATTTTATACCATTCGTATTAATACATTTTTACAAACAGTCGCAGTCCATTCTTCGAGCTTTCAGTGACAGTCAGTCGATACAATTTATTCATACGCGGCAAAGGTCAGAACATAATGAGGGTTTTGTATGACTATAGATTATATGCAGGAGATCTTCGTAGAATTCGCTTGGGTAGCTACAACTCAGGTCTGAAACATATCCAAGCCAAGCCACAGCCTGGATTTCCACCGCAGGTCGAACAGAGCTCGTTGAGATGCGATGCTTGCACCGTCTTTGAGCAAATGGTCCCGTGACCAACCCATGTAGAAGCACTCCCCTATCTGTTGACTTTAGAGCACCTTCCCTTGCTCACAACAAAAACAAACAACCTTGATATTTTCATAAACCAAGCACAAAAAAGCACAGTTCAAACGTCAAAATGACGGAACGAGAGAGATACTCATATCAACCCAATCTGAGAAACAGCAGAGAAGGGCAAATCATGGACGGAGAACCGTCTCGCACCTTCCGTACCAGCCAGAACTCAGTATCGCCTGAGACCGGCCATCAAGAAATACCTCGGCTGCGGGCAAGTGCTCAGCGGCAGCGCCCATACAGATCAGGAGCAATATTCGGATCTGACGCGGCATCAAATCATTCTCATTCTGAATTAGTCTGGAATCGATATTACAATGATACCCCAAGATATTCGCATCCAAGAGCAGCAGTACAACAGTCGTGAAGGAAATCAATTCATTTCCAGAGGTACGTCTCGTCCAACTGTAAATGCTAATTTGAATAGATCAAGTAGACATCAGCAGGACTATCGCTTTCGATCAGACGTTGAGCAAAACCCCTCACACTATCACCGCGCCCCTTCGAACGATCTTGTTGAGAACCAATCATCTGGTGTTGCAAGAAATCTGCTCGGTCGCAGGCGTGTTTCCTTCGCATTACCAGAGAGGGTCGAGATCGCTGGTTCTAGTGCCGAACGATATGCTCGCCAAGCTGACTCTGGGTCGAGACGCTTTCTCAGTATGACGGACATTCAAGCGGATGATAATACGTCCTCGGTCTCATCTTTCGAATCAGCAGCCAATGAAGATTTCGTCGAAGAGCCCCGGCCCCAGTGGAACGATCATCCTCAGAGAGCTATGCAAGATGTCGTTACCGCCCGAGCCTGTGAGAGGGCTACCGATCTTGAAGTGGTAGCAGCAAGATCACAGAAAGAACCGTTTTATTGTGCAAATTGCGGAAAAAGAGACCACGGGCAGTCAAGCTATGGTCATCCATGCAGGCACTGCGGTACTCAAGACCACAGGAGTCAAGACTGTGCCTATGCCAGCGTATCCTGTCTCTGCACACAATTTCCTCGCCATATATTTGATGAATGCGACGTCGAATGTCGCCATTGCTGGGCCAAATGCCTACATGACAATGAAGGAGTGCACCATACAGCAATGTCATGCAATGTGTGGTGTTGCATGTACAATCGACCTATCACGGCGGAGCGCCCTCATAGAGATTGCCGTCTCCTCAGTGATCTAGGCGCACGCCGAAGATGCCATGATCGAGGGTGCCACATATGTGGTGGTTACCATCTTACACAGGATTGCCGGATTCAATTGTGTCGTGTCAGCCTGCGATGAGATGAACAAGAGTCCCTGTCCGATTCACTGTCAGCGTTGCGGCTGGGACCTAAAGAAGGGCCACACCTGGGTAGATATGTATCGGCATCTTGTCGGAGACGATCTTCCCACATTCGAACGATGGCATCAGAGACTATGCGCGTTGTGGGAGACACAATTCCTCAGACATGAACCGAGCGATCTGATGGCTTCGGAGTAACAAGTACTAACAACTCCCACCGTCAACTACTGACAGACGAACTCAGTGAACTTCGTAGCACCAGGGCCATGGACATTGGGATAGACATTCTCTCAAGCAGGCGCAGAAATAGGATACCGCCATGGGAGGTTCCTCTCACTCTGCCAGAATGTCTCGAACGCTGGACTGAACTCTTTGAAGAGGGCACGGGCAATTATCGATTGCGAATTCCTGGCACTATCCGGGACGAAGGCGCTACAGCTCTTGACCTAGATTAATTGGAGGTCTTGCTCTCAGCGACAATCTGAGAGCTCCTTGAGCCTAGCAGACACTTAGGCGAGAACTATGTTCATTCATCCATAAAATGGAAATTTTCAAGCCTTATACAATATTAGCAAGATCGCAGTCCCAAGCAGTTGTGAATGAAGATTTCCTCGATTAGACCGTAGGTTTAGGGAAGTGGGTTAATATACCTCTATTCGGATGGCCATCAAGGGTATAAGTTGTTGCCAAAATCATCCATTATCTTCCAATATTACGTGTTAGGTATTCTTAGCCCAATCTGGTAGCTGAAATTATCATAGCCTTGACATAAAACGTCAAAATTGAGGGCAACTAGCTCGTGTTGACATGCTACTATTTGACCTTTTTTAGAATAGCATTAAATGACGACTATTGTAGTGACGCCCGATCATCATCACACATATTTGTTGACTACTAGACTTCTAGTTAGGTGATTCGCTGTGAGCTCCAGCAAGCTTGATTGGGTTAGCGACACCGCAGCATTCACTGCATGTGATCTACCACTAACTACATATTTGGGCAACTATCTAACAACCCACCTACCTTGTCAAGAGGTCCCAGACATTAGCCATCCTTCACATGCATTTTTACGCTTAGAATATCCCTTCTGAAACGCACAATGCTATCTCGATGGATTCGCTGGAAAACCCCGACGTACCAAAATACAGGCTCCGTTGCGCGCGATCATCTTGCCTCAGAGCGAACATTCCTCGCATGGATCCGGACAGGCCTTGGCTTCGTGGCGCTAGGCATCGCCATCGAGCGCTTCTCACAACTCGATCTTAAAGAGCTATTGCGCCCTCTACGAGAGCAAGGACAGCCACAGCCACGTGATGAGGCCCACGAGCATGAGAGAGAGCAGTCTCAGGTCCTTGTCGGCACACTCATGTCTCTTGGTGGTGGATCGATCGTCTACGGCACCACGCGTTACTTCTCAAATCTTAGACTCTTGGAGAGGGGTCAATTCAAGCCTGCGCACCACGGCGCGGCGATTCTGGCTGCGTCAGTGGCAGGCCTAGCAGGTGGTGTCTACGGCACGTCATTGCGAAGGAGGTGGGAGGAGCGAAAAGAGAGGGACGAGATGCAATCGCCGAGAGGATAAGGCCTAGTCGTTACCGGAACCTAAGACCGTGAAATAGAACATTCACAGCAAATGAAGCAATGTACAAAGTTATTTGAGTTTATACGTGAGATCCAATTTCTAGTTATCCCACCCGACTAGGAGTGATACATACGCGCCATTATAAGGCATGCAAACCTGCTGCAGAACGTCACGCCAG